TTAATCGGCTTCTTTTTTTTTTTTAAATACATAAATGCTCTATTGCTGAAGCCAGTTCACAGTGCTTTAGTTGTGCTCGTTGTCAAAACTGGAGAGTCGAGAATCTGAAAGAACGGTGAATAGCTGTGTTTCCACGAATAACTGCGAAAAAGGAGATAAGAAAAAAACCGAGCATGTTTTATGAGGATCCTTTCACTTACAAACCTGAACGTGTAAACTTTTTTTACCTTGACAAAATGTTGATCGGCATACGAAAAAGAATCAATGAAACTATCCTTGAGGAGTATCGAAACCTGCAAAGGAAGCAGTTTTTCGACTGTTTTTCAACCGTATGGTCATTAAAAGCGACCAAAAAAAAAAAGAAAAAGAAAAAAACATTCGAAAAGCATTTCAGAAATGGACCCTATCGTTATTGGATTGCACGCTCGTGATCGTGTGTGACCTCAAATCTGAACAAAGTGACTCCATGTACCGTCTAATGACCATTAAAAATTGTTCGGCAGCTTTAGCCTGCAAGTCCATGTAGAAATGAAATCTGTTTAAATTTTTTGAATAATATCTCAATCATATACCAACATAAATATCCGAAAACGTGATGTAAAATTACCTGCGTTTTGTCGCATTTATAGACAGGATGTTTAGGAGAACTATAGTCGGCACTGGATAATGCAGCATGGATCGGTTTAAGTTCTGCAATAAGCCCTTTGTTATGCGGAAGTTTTGGCAAGTCACGGCTTTTCACCTGGAAAAGAAATGATTGAATGAAAAACTCGCAAGGTAAAGTATGCTTTCAACGGTACTAAAACTGAAATTTTATTTGAATAGCGACTGGAAAAGAATGTGATCATACAATAAAATCGAGTCACGAACCTGGTTTTTTAATACATTAACTTGAACCAGATGAGAGGCTTTCATCTTCAGGTCATCTGGTTTTTTTTGTAAGCCAACCTGCATGCAATACATCAAATAACATGGGACTGAATTATTACATCTTATTCACTCGGACATGAAAAAAAAAAA